ATCGATTTAAAATTTGGGTAATATAATCTACGTAACTAAAATTACAACTTTGCATTTAACGATTTTTAAAATATGCATTTTACAAATGCAGGCAGATCAAACAATACAAAATATCAAACAGTAGGGGACAACTAAGTATACATTCACACACACACATACATACATACATACATACAAGCAGCTGATCGTGTAGTTGCGTGCAAATGGTTGAAGTAGCCAAAGCAAAATGTGAGACACTAATGTGTGAATGTTCATTTGTACACATGTATGTACATACATACATACATATGTATAAAAGTACATTCGTCTTGCACTGACAGGACAAGAAATGTTAATTAATTAAAAATTATTAACATTATAACATAAACATTTGTATGTTATTTTTTCTTTGTTTAGTACATTTGGCATAAGGGGTTTTTAGGACAACGGACTACAAGGGCGTACGCAGGTTGGGCAGGGGGGACATTGCTCCCCCTAGAAAAAAATTCGCATTATGAATTACACCAGCACTATATGTATTACATACGTACATACATACATATGTACATACGTCTGTATGTATATTATGTACATATGTACATCAATAAGTAAGTATGTACGTACATATGTACATTCTTATATACATATATAGGTTTGTATGTATGCAGTGGGCCATCGAACACTGCTGTTTAATTGTAATAAATAGTGTTCTATGATTTCAAATCAAAATTTTTAAAACAACACCAACAACAAGTTATTGGCTCGCAAATCTTCTTTCGTTTTGATCATTTACGGCTGTTAATTGCATACGCAAAATGCCCAAAGTTTACAGTTACCGTACACATACAAATACATTTGTATGTATGTATGTATGTATATATGTGTACAGTGAACAATCGAATACAGTATTATAATCAATACCTCTCAAACGATGTTTTTCGATGTATTTGTATTCGACATGTATTACGATATATCAACACAAGTATCGATATTTTCGATATATCGCATTTAATTTTATTATTCGGGTTTTAATATTTATTCACTTTTTCAAATGAATAGTTTGTGTTATGAATTTTGTCCGATCGATTTCAAATTTGGGTAATGTAATCAACATAACTATATCAACAAATTGGCATTCAACGATTAAAATATAGCAATATGTTTTTTATATATCAAATATCAAATAGTTGGGGACATCACATACACACACTCACACATACATACAACAAGCAACAGTTCGTGTCTATGTGTGCCCATGCATACTTACATATGTACAAGCATATGTAAGTATGTATGCCTGTATATGTATGTAGCATGTACATACAAAACAACAACAACAACTTCAAGTTGTTGGCTCGCACATCTTCTTTCGTTTTGACCATTTAATGTTAATTGCAAAGGCAAAACGCCAAAAGTTTACAGTTACCGTCGCTAGGCAACCACTGCGTAACCGATAGTAAAGCAGAAAACGAATAACGGAGCTACGCTTATTCTGCTTCGCATTGCGGGCAGATGTATGTATGTATATGATTTGTTCTTATTGATCTCAATAAATAATTAGATTTTATTATTTAAATATTCTGCTTATTGCATTCAAACTTCGATATTTTGATGGTATCGGTGGCTTCAACTATCGAAAGTTTTACTCTAGCAAATTGAGATGAGAATTGTCAGTGCTTTTTGATCGTGGCTCATCGCTGCACGGCAAAAAAAATATATTAAAAAATATTAGTTATGTTCGTTTAACGAAATAGTTTGGCAAGAACAAAAATGTAACGGACTACTGAACAATTTTTTGTCAAGAACAGAAAATGTTCATTTAAATACCTTAAATGCCTTCCTACTGGTAACTTATAAGGTGAAAACATATGGGTAGGTTATGCACACACAAAATAAATACAATTGGAAACATTATATTGAGCCGGGTTAAGACGGGCAATACCTGCTAGTACACTTATATGTATGTACATGTATATAAGGATAGATAGCACCTGCATCGAAAAATAAAATGTTCATATATACATATCAGCGTTGCCAGACGTTCCGGCTCAGTCCCGTGTGTATGCTAATTTAAATGTTGTGCAGTTGCATAAATTGACCAAAAACCTTTGCCAAATTGTACAACGTTTAATTCTAGAAATCAAGGCCAGTAATTTATTCCTATCATACTATATACATACATAAATATACATATGTACCAGAGAACTGCACGAGTATGTTCGACCACCCTTGGTGAAAATTCAATCAAATCAGATATTTTCTTGGCCGCAAACGAGCTCGAACGAGTTGAGTACTCTCAGCATTTTACTTATGTTCGACCTTGAACGAGCCATCGTTCTATTTTTACGAACAAGTACCGGACTTAATTGGTTTGCTTTCGAGAAGACCAGGCTTCGTCATTTGTTTTCAAACAGTTCAGGCTCGATCACTTCGTTTAAGATGACTGGGTCCTGATCGAAACAAACCAGACTTTCGAGAATAAGCGTTTGATCGAACGAGTATAGCTCAGTATTGTTTGGGTATTGCGCGAGTTGCACTCGGGTATTACAGCAAGTTTTACCCAAGTATGTATCGAGTACTGCGCGGGTTTTACCCGAGTATGACCGTTAAAAAATGCATGTATGTACATATTTATGTATTTGTGCGTCCATGCCTTGTTTGCAATTATGCGCAAACATGTGTATATGTATGTACCTATCTATATACAAGTATATAAAACAGTTTGTCCTGACTGAATGACTGACTGACTGATTGGTGATCAACGCACAGCCCAAACGGTAAAAGCTAGGAAGCTGAAATTTCGACTCAAGTATCCTTTCATAGTGTAGGCTGGCGATAAGAAGGGATTTAAGATAATTCGAGCTCCAAAGGGGGGAAATCGAGCTCCAAAGTTTGTATGCAAAATGTATACTCCCAAAAGAATTCCAAGACAAACTGCATACTCGGATTTTCGAAATTTGAGGTGGAGCTTGAATCATTGGGGTTTTAATATTTATTCACCTTTTTAAATGAAAAGTTTGTGTTATAAATTTTTTCCGATCGATTTCAAATTTGGGGACTGTAATCTACGTAACTAAATCTACAACTTTGCATTCAAGGATTTTCAAAATATGCATTTTACAAAATCAGGCAGAACAAACAATACAAAATATCAAACAGTTGGGGACAACTAAGTATACATACACACACACACATACAAGCAGCTGCTCGTGTAGTTGCGTGCAAACGATTGAAATAGCCAAAGCAAAATGTGAGGCACTAATGTGTGAATGTACACACATACATATGTACACATCTATGTACATGTACACATCTATGTATGTATGTATGTTCATTCGTCTTGCACTGACAGAGCAATAAATGTTAATAAATTAAAAATTATTTAACATTTTTAAAAGTAATTTTTTTTTTGTATAGTACATTTGGCATTTGGGTTTTCATTGATAACTTTATGCAGCAACAACAAATTACAAAGAACGCAAATATCAAATAGTTAGGGGCATCATATAAACCTATTTTGTGAGTTTATTTATGCGATTTACAAAAGCAGAAACACACCTTTTACATTCAGAACAATCATATTTGGAATTGAAGACACAAATTAGGGTTGAATTAAAAAATTTAATACATACTTATATATGTATGTATATATGTACATATATAGGCGGATAACGCCTGCATGGAAAATTTAAATGTATTTACAGCGTTGCCGAACGCTCCAATTTTGGCGGGACGTCCCGATTTATCAAAATTAAATGTCCAGCGTCGGCCTTTTCGGGGATAACTTGACCATACATAGTACTTATTGTACTATATTCGCTATTTGAAAAATTAACTCTTTAAAAAACTTTAGAGAGCGTCGAAAGAAGAATATCATATACAAGTAATAAATAAACTTATAATTTGAAGCACATTTTACTTAGCCCAGCAAAGACGGGCAAGACCTGCTAGTTGTACTATTATTGCTATTTGGAAAATTACCTCTTTAAAAAACTTTAGAGAGCGTCGAATGAAGAATATCATATACAAGTAGTAAATAAACTTATAAATTTAAGCACATTTTACTTAGCCCAGCAAAGGCGGACAAGACCTGCTAATTTTAAATAAAGAGGTAAAGAATGAAAACAAAACATATTTATTTATTTGTATATTATGATATTCAGCATGATTTTATTTATTAAACAAGTAAAAAAGCCGGGTCGGGTGTCCCGACTTTGAAATTTATTTATTTATTTATTTAAATCAACAAGTAGTTCTGTCGATTTATTTCAAAACAATATATATGTATTAACATATTATATATATATTAAGATTAATATTTAAAATACAAATATGATTAATACAACAAAGTCTGAACTTACAAGATAAGAAAGCCTACAAAAAAGCTGTACAATAACGTCATACATATACTCTATACATATGTTTAGAACAATTATAGAAATTTAAAAAAGTAGGAGAATTACAAAAAAAAATTTTGATCGATTTTAACTCTTTTGGTATTCTAACTCACGTAAAAGGTGTATAATTGCACATATACAAAGCAATTGCGTCTATGTGAGTGTATGTATGTATATGCTCGAGTATTCGTGTCTGTGTAAACATGTTAGGAGTCAACCAAACAGCAACATCAACAACAGCCGCGGGCAGCGCTTGGGCAGCGCTGCAGCAGCAAATATATTTATGGCTATGCAGAGTGAAAAGGATCACGCACATTTCGCCGTAAAAAGTATATACACACAAGTATATCCACATCATACAAATTTACACATCACAAAAATGTACATATGCCTGTTTGGCACGAACGAGCGTCAGCTTCTGCAGACGGCTCATACGGCAGCGACCTACTCGAGTCACGGCCTCTTGCGGCAGCGGCTCACTAATACCCGAGACAGCATTCCTTATGGGTAGCAGCGGGTAATGAGCACATTTTACGAACCCTGCTGAGAACTATCGGTAAAAACCGATCCTGGTCACACATATTTAATTTTATTTAAAATATAAGCAAATGTTTTTAATTACAGATCTGCTGATGACACGTTAACAAACCAACGCGTAGCAATCAAAAAAATTTCACCTTTTGAACACCAAACTTATTGTCAGCGTACCCTGCGAGAAATAACTATACTAACGCGATTCAAACATGAAAATGTAAGTGTGCAATTATGTATTTGTATGGTGACTTGTAATATTAATCTATAATTGTAGATTATAGACATTCGAGATATTTTGCGAGTAGATAGCATAGAACAAATGAGGGACGTATATATTGTACAATGCTTAATGGAGACTGACCTGTATAAGTTACTTAAAACACAGGTAAATTAAATGTTCAATTGCACTTATTATATATTTTATGATACAACATTTGTTTTATTACAGAGGCTGAGCAATGACCATATTTGTTACTTTCTGTATCAGATTTTGCGCGGTTTAAAGTACATTCATTCGGCTAACGTTTTACATCGTGATCTAAAACCAAGCAATCTTTTGCTAAACAAGACTTGCGACTTAAAAGTTCGTTGAATACCATTATTTAAATTAAAACGTAATTGTTACAAATTTTTTTTGGTTTTTGTTACCAGATCTGCGATTTCGGTTTGGCTCGAATTGCTGATCCGGAACATGATCATACTGGTTTTCTTACGGAGTACGTAGCTACGCGGTGGTATCGTGCACCTGAAATAATGCTGAACTCAAAGGGATATACTAAATCTATTGACATGTGGTCGGTAGGATGCATCTTGGCTGAAATGTTAAGCAACCGACCAATATTTCCTGGAAAACATTATTTAGATCAACTTAACCACATTTTGGGCGTATTGGGATCGCCATCACAGGAAGATTTGGAATGTATAATAAATGAGAAGGTATGGACGAAAGCAAAATATCTTGAATGTTTAATAAAAGTTGTTTTTTGTAACAAATTCCCAGGCTAGAAATTATTTGGAGTCCCTTCCATTCAAGCCGAATGTACCGTGGTCGAGGCTATTTCCGAATGCTGATGCGTTAGCGTTAGATTTACTCGGAAAAATGTTAACATTTAACCCGCACAAGCGTATTCCCGTTGAAGAAGCTCTTGCACATCCATACTTAGAGCAATATTACGACCCCGGAGATGAGGTAACTTAAAGAAAAGAAATCATATACTTATATATATATATACAGTATAGCTGCATCGGCAAGACAGCTGCATGAAAATTGCTTTTGGCAGTATTAAGAGTTGGTTTCGTATGAAATTAACTAAGTTTGGTGCATATCTCAGAGACTATAAGATATAGAGACACCAAAATTTACATAAAGATGCCTTATGTATCTACCCTATACGAGTTTGTTTTATTTTTTTGATTTACCCCCCACTTCCCCTCCATGCGGGGTTTGTGGAGTTTTTGGAGCCCCCTGGTGGCGCTATCTATATGTCGACTGGTGCGTTAGAATCTGCTATCTTTATCGATCCAGTGTCCAGTGAGAATTTCATGACATTTCACGGATTGGAAGTGAAGTTATTGCGTTTTAAGTGTCAGTATGTTTGTGTTATCGGTGCGAAAATGACCTTCGATCAAAGAGCCAACATTAAATTTTGTTTTAAAATTGGTAAAACTTTTACCGAAACGATTTAATTGATGGAACAAGTTTATGGCGATGATTGCCTTCAAATCAATCAAAATTCGTGATCACCGAAAATTCCATCGAAACTGTGCTTGAATTCATTAAAAATCAGCCGAAATCATCATTGAAATTTATGGAAATGGAATTGAACATTTCCAAAACATCGATTTATCACATTTTGACCGAACATTTGGGCTTACGAAAGGTGTGTGCACGGTTTGTTCCGCCCAAATTTACTGACGACCAAAAATTGCTCAGAATCGATCGACGCTTGTGATCGATTATTTGACCAAAAATCACATTTTAACCAATAACCACTCGCCGTATTCACCTAAATTGGCACTGTGCGACTTTACCTTTTCGGAAAAATGCATTTGCCCATGAAAGGAAAGCATTATGCAGACGTAGAGGCCATTCAAAGGGCTTGCACCGGCATACTGGCGGCCATACCGGCCAACGAGCTAAAGCACTCGTTTGACATGCTTTTGGATCGTGCAAAAAGCTGTATTGAAGCAGAAGGAGACTATTTTGAATAAAATAAATTGATTTTGCCGAAAAAACCATTTGTACTGTTTTTTTTTAAAAGTCCTATTTACTTTGCAACATTCCTTGTATATGTATATATATACACATACATATATGCGCACATATGTACAAAAGAAGTCGAAGTTCATGATGAAAAATGAATTCAATTTCACAAAAGAGAGTTTTAAACTCCTTGGGATACCTTTCTTTAAGCAACTCACACAAATATTTTTTGACTGGCTGAATAAGTCTCTACCAGGCTCCTCCCATGTGAGGGGTCAGAGGCGGGTTGAAAAACCAAGTGCACTGTTTCGTTGTTATTTTAACTTAATTAATTTCATTTTAAAGCCAACTCTAATGTCCTTAATACCCCCACTCGCACTTTTAAAATTAGTTCCGTTATCTATATATATAAAACAGTTTGTCTTGACTGACTGTTTACAGTTACCGTCGCTAGGCAACGACTGCGTAAGCGATAGTAAAGCAGAAACCGAAAGCGGACCTACGTATATTCTGCTTCGCGTTGCGGGCAGATGTACATATGTATGTTTGTATATTATTTGTTCTAATTGATCTCAATAAATTATAAGATGTTATTATTTAAATTTTCTGGAATTATTGATTGTATCGTCGGATTCAACTATCGATAGTTTTGATGCTCTAGCACATAGAGCATCCGACACATGCCCATCTGTAGCATCTCAGCTGATCGCATATTTACAGCGACTTACCGTTTTAGTGTTAGCTAACAACGCTACAAATGTATTATGAACAAATCTAAGAGTCATATACCGTTAAGCCTATTTTGTGAGTGTATTCATGCGATTTACAAAAGCAGAAACACACCTTTTACATTCAGAACAATCATATTTGGAATTGAAGACACAAATTAGTGTTGAATTAAAAAATTTAATCCATACTTATATATGGATGTATGTATGTACAAGTATATAAGCGGATAACGCCTGCATGAAAAATTTAAATGTATGTACATATCAGGGTTGCCGAACGCTCCAATTTTGGCGGAACGTCCCGATTTATAAATCAAAATTAAATGGATGCGTCGGACTTTTCGGTACATAGTACTTATTGTACTATATTTGCTATTTGGAAAATTAACTCTTTAAAAAACTTTAGAGAGCGTCGAAAGAAGAATATCATATACAAGTAGTAAATAAACTTATAAATTTAAGCACATTTTACTTAGCTCAGCAAAGGCGGGCAAGACCTGCTAGTATTATATAGTAAATAAACTTGTAATTATAAGCACATTTTACTTAGCCCAGCAAAGATTGCAAGACCTGCTAGTCCATGTATAATTCGGTGGGAAATACACGTCGGCAGCCAACATCGAAACACATGCATGAACGAATTACAAGACAAATCCTCAGCTACTTCGAGATGGACTCACGGGATAAAAAATGCTCTTGCAGTTGGTTCTATTCGATATAATGGAAGCTGTCCTATCACTGGTGATTGACACAGAGTTTTTTTGTTTTTGCAGTGCTGACAATAGTCAATGATTGTAGTCAATGATAGTGATGATTGTCTAAGATTGGAAATCACAAATGGAATTCAGTACCCATATGACAGTTTTTTACGTGATAGTAATGTATCAGCAATTTCGTAATCGGATACTCTTTTGCTCAAAATAACAGGATTTTTCATATCAAGGTCAAACTCATTTTCATTAAAATCTAGCCTTCTCTGAGTCTAAGCAAACCATCATCTGACAAAATAATTGGTAGTGATTTCAAGCTGCTTGAACTACGTATTGGTTCGTCTTTTTTCAAACATTCTATTTCGGTCTGGTAGCAATCTATTTGTATTCTCCTAAATATCAACATTTCGGCTCTTTCTAATTCTTTCGCGGTAAGTTCGTCGTCCTCGAATTTGATTCGCTTAAGCTTTGATATATGTACATACCTCAGTAAAATTGATATATATGCAAAATTTGTTTTTGATATTACCGTTATTTTAAAAGATGGCACCTGGGACTAAAATTTGGTGTCCCTAGGTCTTATAGTCTCCGAGATATAGGCGATAACACGAATGGAAAATCGGGAAGACGCGCATAGGGGGGAAGTGGGGGGGGGGGGGGAATCAACAAAATAAAACAAACTTGCACAGCGTACACACATAAAGCATCTTTGTGAAAATAAGACCAAGTAGTGCCCGCAGCTGTTGTTGTTGTTACTACTTTGCTCAGGCACTCGAGACACGCATAATTATTCTACAGATATGTACAGAGTATTTCAAAGTCGGGATACCCGACTTTAGCTTCTCTACTTGTTCAAGACAAGAAATGTCCCCTTAATTAAATACTAAATATATTTATGGATTTTTAATTATCAATATCTAATAGCTATATATAAAAAAATAAAAGTAAAAATCTAATATTCAAGAGTTCCTAAGAAACTTAGAATAGGTATAGGTATATCTTTGTACCTATGCCACCGGTCTCAGGAATCAATTCGAAAATCTTGAATATGTATAAGACAATTTCTGAATCTGTCCACAGAAATGTGTTCGTGATGTTCATCTGCAAATCCTTCTTTATTATTTTGCTAAGTCTAGCTCCAAACAATGTACCCTGAAGCTCTAGTCGCGGAATTGACATTGGTTTAATTGGTGCAACTCGTGATTTGGCCAGTATCAAAATACTTTCGGCTTTTGTATTGTGTTCAAAACGTAAATATGCACAAGTCGCATTCGTTTAATAGCAAGAAAGTCATTGCTCTTGTTGTACCAAAGTCACATATTCTACCTAAAGAATTACATAAAGTTTTCCAAATTTCAAAATGTTCGTCTGTGATGATGTCGTCCCAACTTATACCACTGCCCCAAATTGCTTGGAAAAGTATCTTATTATACTCTGTACATGAAATGTACAAGAGTATATTAGGTTTGCGGGAGCTGAAAAATGTAACAGGCAGAAGGAGGCGTGGCAGACCCCACAAAGTATATATATTATTGATCAGCGTGACAAGACGAGTCGATCTAGTCCTGTCTGTCCGTCTGTCCGTCCGTATGAACACCTGGATCTCAGAGACTATAAGAGATAGAGACACCAAATTTTGCACAAAGATGCGTTATGTGTGTATTCTGTACAACCCCCCACTTCCCCCCTATGGGGGTTTTCCCGATTTTTCATTCGTATAATCGCCTATATCTCGGAGACTATAAGACCTAGGCACACCAAATTTTAGTCCAAGATGCCTTGTGTGAATACGCAGAAAATTTATATTTTGGAATTCCCCTCCCTCCCCCCTCTCCCCCGCAAATGCGATTTTCTCTAACTCCCGTAATTCTTGGAATTTCGAACTAAAATTTTGCAAATACCCCCAGTTAGTAAATTTGTGTCCGTATGCCAAGTTTCACTATGATAGACCGATTTACCAAGAAGTTATAGCCATAAATATATTTGCTGCTGCAGCGCTGCTCAAGCGCTGCCCGCGGCTGTTGTTGATGTTGCTGTTTGGTTGACTGCGAAAATGCTTACACAGACACGAATTGATGCGCATAGGCATACATACACTCACACAGACGCAATTGCTATGTAATTGTGCAATTATACACCCTTTACGTGAGTTCGAATACCGAGAGAGGTAAAATCAATCAAATTTTTTTTTTATTTTCTTAATTTTTTTTATTTTCTATAATTATTGTAAACATATGTACAGAGTATTTCAAAGTCGGGACACCCGACTTTAGCTTTTTTACTTGTTTGAAATAAGAACATTTGAAAGAAGTCCCAACGGATCGAAAACTGACATTGTTAGCTTTAATACCTCGCCCTTTGTTGGTCTTCTAGTCAATTTTAAAAGTTCAAAGTGCGACTTTGTAAATTGAAAGTAAAAACGTATTTTTCATAGTCCCAATTCAATGGGAGTTCCTGAGTCAAATTATTACTTTCTTGTCAGTCGCCAGATCAGAAGTGTATATTTGTTCTATAACCTCTGGTAAATTTGAAGTCCAATTACACATTA